TTAATAACCTCTAGCCATAATAGTATATACACCATGTTAGTATAAGGAAAATTTTGTTGTTGTTAAATCTGGTTTATGTTACAGGTCTGATTGGCAGCAAAATCTGTTGCTAGTCCCTGGAGCTTGAGTCTATGTAAATGACTCTGCACTAGCCTGTGATGTCCAAGGGGTACAAAATGTTCCTCCTGCTTCACTTCAAGCTGAGCACTAAACAGTGAATAAGCAAGAGAGATCCTTTTTGAGAAGGTGGGGTTAGGAAGGAGGGAGTATAGGCCAAGGTGCCATTTGTGGAGTTCTACCCTGCATTCGTGTCTGAGCCTCGCCCAGTGCTTCATGGGGGATCGGCGGGCAGCTGTGGTCTTGTAGAGTTACCCTGAAAGCTTCTGTACCCTAAGAGCCACATCTTGTCCAAGAATATTGTATATTGGTATGCAGAAGCCTTAGGAGAAGTAACTGTATGCACCCCGCCCACCCCCATGTTATTTTCCTAAGCCCACGCCAGCGGAGTAGTGAGTACAGATCCCTGTTTCCCAGGGTGACTCGGGGCAGCACCTTGTCCTCTGCCTCCCCTGGTGGTAGTGTTATGGCTGAGGTGGCCTGGTTGCCAGGAAAGCATCGGTAACCTTTCAGACCTGTCTCCATACCCTGTAAACCTCTGCAAGTGTTGGTGGCATGTTCAGGTGTTGGTATGACCAAGGTAATTGGCAGTGTTTGCGCCTGAGTCTATTTTGAATTAAACTTGACTTTTCCGAAGCTGTATTGTAATAAAGAGGCTGTCCCATTCTCCGAGCCACTGTTGGGATTTCTTTGAGACTTTCTAAGATATTTGCCATAGTGAATGTGCCTGGGCCACCCGCCGTCAAGTCAGATAGCTTTTTTAGGACAGGCTAGCTTACCTGGTGGGTAAAGCCTAATGACTGTAGCTGCTACTGTCTCAGATTCCTCATGAGAACTCTGGCAATGAAACCCAAGGCACTCCAGGCTCAGGAAACATGGACCATCTCAGTGATTCACAAAACCCAGGAACATGGATGTCAATCCATCTGCTACCCATCCTCACTCCTATACCCAAACTCAGGTGGCCTCAAACCGTTACTACGTTCCTTTCAGCTCCTTTGCCCACAGATACCACTTTCACAAATGGGCGTCAATGTTTTGCCACATTCAAGAAGGTGGGAGGGAAGGAGTGGAGATGGAGGAAGGCTGTTCCATTTTCTTAGGACTTGAGATCGCAGAAAGACAGCTGAAATCTAGCTTAAGAAAAGAAAAATATTAACTGGGTTCACATCATGAGGATGTGTATTGGATTCAGGGGTGGGGACTCCATCTCTTTGGGTCTCATCTGGTTCACCTCTCCTTTATATGGACCTCTACAAGTATCACGTGGTGCTTGCATCTGCTGGCTATGGCCTCCTAGGGATATTTTCTGCATGGTACCTAGAAAGTACAAGACAGCACAGGTAGCTGTGTGTATGAAACCCCACCATGACCCAGCCAGCATAGGGGAGGCACAGCTGGAATGAGGCCTTCTAACCCAGAAGAAAAAAATCCCTTTGAATATGAGAGAGGTTAAAAGTGCCGTCCACATTAATCTTACATGGTCACTGTGACTACAAATCCTTATATTTAGCAAATTTGAATTTTGCCTTTTCACTTACTCTTAGTTTGATGTGGTTTTTATGTTGGATATTTTGAATAACTGCAACCTGATCTTAACCAGCATTACCTCAAATTTAGATGCAAATTAAACCAGTGGACAGTGGTGTGAAAGCAGTCAGAAGCCAAATATTAAATACCCCTTCACATAAAAATTTACTGTGGTCACTTTGTACCTTACTTAATCAAATCTTGTCAAATCCTATGGCATTTAATTATAATGGCTTTTCATAATTTTTAGTTGACTTTGATACTAGGTTCCAACTCTTAAGGAAGGAAATCCCCACAAATTAATAACCTCTAGTCATAACAGTGAAATAGCATTTTAAGTGCAAGGAATATTTTTGGCTAGATCTCACGTATATTACTGATCTGATTAGTAGTAAAATTAAGTGATTTGCCCCAGAGTTCCTAAAACTCAAGTGCACTCCATCTGAGTGAGTTAGCTGGAATATATTTCAGAACTATCAAATTTGTTTGACATTTTCTCTTAAATCTTCAGAACTCCAGCTGGAAGATGACAGTCAGAGCCTGTCTCAGAGGCACTTGTTATAATATCCCTTCATCTTCAGAGGAGTGTGTAAAAGATTTTGACTTTAAAATTACTAACATTAATAATGTATGACATTCAAACTTTTATTAGAACTCACTTTATTGCGTGTTATTTTATTCAGGAAAGTTAAAATGTGCCTATTATCATCAATAAAATTGTAACCCAGGACCAGAGATTAGCAGCCTGGTACCAGAAAATTGTCACAGAAGTGGAAAAGTATAGTTTACCTTTACATCCAACTCAGCTATTTGCTATTTAAAATGGTGCCATCTCTCTGCTCTCAGAACCAAAAAACATCATTCATGCAAGAGTACTTATTTTATTAGTATTAAGTGCAGACGGGGTTATTGCACAATTTGCAGTTGGTCTTTCCTCAGATATCTACAGGGCTTTGTCGAGGAGCTTGGTCACCTTCCATGGCTGCAAACCCCACCCACCTTGGGCAACTCTGCAAGGTCGGCCCTGGTATTTGGATGACTGCTGCCTGGACAGGGACACTGGCCAATCTAGTTGACACCCCTGAAGCTCTGCACCCTATGTCAACTGCTGAGTACATTACTGAACACCCTCCTTCCCAGAGCCCTATGTGGAGCCTTGCAGCTGCTCATGTGCTATGGGGAGAAAACATTGGGGATATAGACACAAGTCTTGCCTTAGGTAGTACACAGTAGGATCCAGAGCCCACTGCCCACAGCAGCTGCTGAAAAGTATTGGCCCAGTTGCTAGGGTCTGAGTGTTTGTGTTCTCCTCAATTAATGTGTTGAACGCCTCCCTCCTTTCCCTCTGGTCCTGGGAGGTGGGGACTTTGGGAGGCCACAGGAGTAGAAGATCAGTGTTCTGTTAAAAGAGGCCCTAGGGAGACCTGTTTCCCCTCCCGTGAGGTGAGGGTCATAGCCAAGAGGCACCACTATAACCCAGGTGATAGAACCTCACCAGACACCCAGTCTGTCAGCACTGTGATCTTACTCTTCCAGTCTCCTGAACTTCAGGAGGTTAGCTTGAGTTGTCTGGCACTGCTGTAGCAGATTATAATACAAATGTGCCTCTAGGATTTCTTCATTGTAAATGCCACAGCTTTATTTATTTTGGTGCTGGAGACTGGAACCCAGGGCCCTGGACATGCTCTGCAAACGTTCTGCCACTCCCAGCCGCACACCATAATTTTGTGATTTAAGGAGATTTGGGATTTTTCTCTGAGCCCAAATCTTCAGTGTTGGCATGAAAATCTTGTTCCTGGGTCCTAGAAAACAGCATGACAACAGAACTTTCACTGTGGTTTTTTTTTCCATTGGGATTTTCCATCCTTTCTTTGTTCTTTTTCTGATGCAAATGTGTTGCAGCTTATACATTATTGAGCAAGCTAGAGATAAACCATAACATTGCACAAAAGTTTTACTTCTGACCCAACACACAGCTTGCTAGGAATGGATTTTGTAGTGGTTACATTCTAGCTAGCCTCATACATAATATGATTTATGCAGAGTAAGTTGCAGCAGCACCCCAAGGGAAATGCTCACACACCAGGGCAGTTGTGTGCAACATGGGTTTAGAAAAGTCAGGTCAGAAGAGTGTGATGGAGTTGTTACAGACTGCCTGAGTCGGGAGTTACAGTTTACATCAGTGATGGGCCTTACCCAGGTATTGTGGTAGAATCCCACAGTAGTCCAAGCAGAGCTGATGGGAGACCAGCTGTTCATCTCTGAAGAAAAGACAAGCAGCAAGACCAGTCTTAACTGCTGCAGTGGTGCTTCCCCCTGCAATGTACTTTTCTTCTCTAGAAAGTTCTGAAATTCTACATTTTAGCTGGATTAAAGCATGTTTAGGTTAGGGCTCCTCAAATGTTTTGCATATAGAAGGGAATACGTTTCACATTACCAGCCAGTGTTGCTTCCCCTGTGGCTGAAGAAACCATGTGTATGCTAACCATAAGCACTCTGGGGATTTTCCCTTAGTCCTTTAAACCCTCCACATACCTGCTGGCTGCTTGCAACCCTTTCAGTTGATTTGATGACCCACTTAAGGGGTTTTCCATCACAGTATTAAAAATGCTTCCTTAGACTGAGTATGCTGGCTAATTTTTTTTTTTTTTTCTAATTCACCCATCACAATGTGTTGTAGAAAATTAGTCCAATGTCTTGAGAGAAACTGAATTGCGAGTTGGGAAGTAAGAAGGTGAGAAGGACCAGCATGCAGCCAGGAAGTGAGAGGGAGTGCATTCAGTGGAGCAGAGAGGAGGAGGAGGGAGCCAGGGCCGGGGTACAGCCATGGGGGGTGAGGAGAGGTCACAGAACACGGGTACAGCTCTACCCAGGAGGGAGAGGGGAAATGCTTGTGGGGGGGGTGGGGGGGGGTCTGCTGACTGAGATCCGACCTATCATAGAATTGCCACAGGGAATTCATTTAGCCCCACTTCTTGCCTGCCCAGTGCAAAAATGTAGACACTTTCTTGGTGCCTTTATACCTTATTTTTCCATCGCGGGCTCCAGGAATTCTCCAAAGCTAGACCATTGTTTCTGAATGATTTAATGTTTTCTGTTACTGTTATTTGTGTCACAGACCCACTGTCTTTTTTTTAATGGGTAAAAAGACAGACCTGTTTCAGTTAAGTATCAACTTTTAGTAAGTTTACAACCTCACCACGCCCCTGCAAAGTTGATTTTCCAACTGGTTTCTGACATTTGTAACCACTCTGTAACCCCCTGACAAAACATCCACACCCTGATCCAGTAGGAGTGGGTGTGGCACCCCACATGTACCCAGTGCCAACTGAGCCCTTGCTATGTCTCCACAGGCCTCGGAAAGACGCGCAGGAAGCCGAGTGCCAGGGACGCGTCCCCAACGCCCAGCACCGATGCCGAGTATCCAGCCAACGGCAGCGGCGCTGACCGCATCTACGACCTCAACATCCCAGCCTTCGTTAAGTTCGCCTACGTGGCCGAGCGAGAGGATGAGCTGTCCCTGGTGAAGGGCTCCCGTGTCACTGTCATGGAGAAGTGCAGTGATGGCTGGTGGCGCGGCAGCTTCAATGGGCAGATTGGCTGGTTCCCCTCCAACTACGTGCTGGAGGAGGCGGACGAGGCAGCGGCAGAGGCCCCCAGCTTCCTGAGCCTGCGCCGGGGTGCAGCGCTGAGCAATGGGCAGGGCGCCCGTGTGCTGCACGTGGTGCAGACGCTGTACCCCTTCAGTTCAGTCACGGAAGAGGAGCTCAACTTCGAGAAGGGGGAGACCATGGAGGTGATCGAGAAGCCTGAGAATGACCCTGAGTGGTGGAAATGCAAAAATGCCCGGGGCCAGGTGGGCCTGGTCCCCAAGAACTACGTGGTGGTCCTCAGTGATGGGCCAGTGCTGCACCCCTCGCACACCCCGCAAATCAGCTACACCGGGCCCTCGGCCAGCGGGCGCTTTGCAGGCCGGGAGTGGTACTATGGCAACGTGACGCGGCACCAGGCTGAGTGCGCTCTCAACGAGCGGGGCGTGGAGGGCGACTTTCTCATTAGGGACAGCGAGTCCTCGGTAAGTGCCCGCCTGCCCACTCTACAAGCCATGAAGCCAGGAGGAAAACGAATACAATAGTTCCCTCACCAGTCAGTCAAAAAATACTTAATGATCTCACAGTAAACAGTCCTAAGGCTTAAATGACCTTTTATTACAGTTCTTTTTCTGATTTCCCACAGTTAAATCCCTTACCATGTCCACCTTGTGAATTAAACTTCATCATAGGTATGTACTCTCCTTAAAAAAGATATTCCAGGACTCTGTTCTACAGTGGTTTCAGGCATCCACTGGGAGTCCTGGAACCCTGCCAGTGAAGGAGGACACACCTTATGTAGGTGTCATTTCCCCCTTCACATTGGGTGACTTGAAATAGTAAAAGGGCCCTTGGGGGCTTGTTTTAGGCTGATGAATACTGTCTCAGTACATTTGCTCTCAGCTTACCTAAATCTGGGTTGGGGGAGTGTGGGGCCCCCGTGGCCACTCTTTCTTGGTCTGGGCAAGGGAAGAAAAGTGCTTTCAGCTCCTGTAGGTGGTTCAGCTCTGTGCTCAGGCTCCACCTTTCCACTCCTGAAATGCAGACTCCCTTTTCCCTCCTGCTTCCTGCTGGTTTAAAAGACCCTGTGATTATTGTGCCTGGCTCTGTCTGCACCTGAGGTGTAGAGAGGCTCTCAGCTAGCGGTGCCTGGCTTCTAACAGCCTTTTGTTGGTTTTTCTTTGTAAACTAGTAATCCCAAGGCCATCTCTGTTGCAGGCATTGCCACAGAAAAGCTCATCTCAGTGAAACTCTTAAAAGTCCTTAAGAGCTGAACCAAACAGGAACTTGGGGTGTTCCAGGGACATGAGTAAATGGGGAATGAGGCCACCAGTCTGGTGCAGCCAATCCTCTTCCATCAGGTGGCCAACTGGGGGTTGTGGCTCTGTTGGGACCATCAGAAAGAACCAGCCAGTTTCACCACAGGCAGGCTTTCTGTGTGTACCTTGTGGGAATAACCAGATTTGTAGATGTCTTTCCAATTACATTTCTAAACCTGTAAGCAATTTGAAGAGTGTATATTGGTGTGCTATTGCTTCTTCTAGGCTTTGGTTTCATGTTTAAAGTGCACGCTATGAGAGTAGAATGTGTGTGCTCTGCTCTGATAGCACCGTGAACAGTGCGCACTCCCACCTCCCAGGACAGATCTGAGAGGAGGTCACAGCCCCTCTTGGAGAGGGCCACTGAAGTCTGTTCTTCAATGCAGATGGGGCATCATGCCAGTGGAAACTGGACCTTTTATTGCGTCAGCAGCTTTGCAGGGTCAAACAAAGCCTTAGATGTGCTCAGGAAGGACTCAGCGCTGACTGCATGTGAAATCTGAACACAGAGATGTGCTGATCAAGCCTCCAGCATTGATCACTGCTGGCAGGATTACCCCGGCACTGTTCTCACACCTCTGGACCTCTGTGCTCGGCTGCCCTTAGATCGTATTCTAGACCTGCGGGGAATTAAGGACAGCAGTGCTTCTAACCCTGCAGAGCAGAACCTTAGAGAAAGCTCTGGAAAACCAATTATGGTGCCAAGTGCTCAGTCCAGAGTGCTTGTCAGAGTCAAAGTTAAAGTGACTTCTTGGGAAGGGAGAGGGATAAGGAACCAGGTAGCGGGGACTGGAGGAAAGTCCTTAGAAAGATGACTGGTGAGTAAAGTGTCCCCCCAGGATTTACCAAGGACAGACCTGTTGCTTTCTGTGTCTGAATAAGCAAACATTTTCTAATCATGGAGCATGAATTGTTTACATTTTTATTTTAACCCTTTTCATGGACACCATTTTATTCTGCCTTAAGCTGAGGTAAGTCATGTGAGTGTATGCCCAGGCTGTGCTTTCAGGGCTGTGGGGGGGCAAAGATGGCTTCGTTGGACTGCTCAGCATCTCTGCACACACAGAGTTCCTGCTCAGTCTGCAACAGGCCGTGATGCTGGGCAGCTGTCCTCGGGATCTTGCTGTAGTGTAGAGAGTTTGGGCTGCTAGCTGCATGCCAATCCAAGACTGCTCCAAGTTGTGTTGCTGATTTTCTGCTGAGAAAATCGGTGAGATGTGTTGCTCTTGGCTGTTTGCATCTTCATTCCGTGACTGTTGTCTGTCCTGACACACAGTGACTCGCTTACTCTATCCCACCTCTGCTGCCTCCTTTCTCATTTTTCCTCTTCCTTTTGGGACTTTTCAGGTCAGAGCATTATTTTCACAGCCAAGCCCAGGCTACACAGAGTCCATAGTTCACAATCTGATATCGTACATCACACTGTTGGGTGATAGAAAGGGGTCCCAGGGGCTCTGCCCTCCTGCAGTACTCAGGCAAATGTCTCACTACATTTCCTTTTTCTTCCCTGTAGTCTTTGGGCCTGGAACCTCCCTCCTGGAGGTTGTCATGGGAAGCTTGGCTTCTGAATGATCATGGTAGTTTAGGGGTGCATGTCTTCCACATGTGTGTCACTTAAAATGTATCCCAAGTGATTGCAAAGTGAATGAGCTAGACTCTTGGTGGATGGTGTTTTGCAATGAAAAATACCTACTGTTTCCTTCCTTTGAAGAATTAAAATCTACTCATGTCTACTTACAAGGAAGTTGTGCTTTTTGAGGGAGAGGTACACACTGCAAGGAAAACAAAGGTGGTCTCCCCTACATATCCTGGGTTGAGGAAGAACTAGGTGTTTCAGAACTCTGTTGGGTGAATACTGAATTTGAAAAATAAATGATCAAGCAAACCTGAACCTCGGTACCCCATCTGTTCTCTCTTCCAAACTCTTTTCCACTCTTTTTCTCTTTTCTCATCTCTAATGATCAGTTCTCCATAGCAGCTAATGGAGACACAATATTGTCTCTCGTCACCTGCGCCTGTGAACTAAACCTACCTAATGCAGGAGATTCATAGGAATCCTGCCTGTTCTGTACAGGCATCATAAATCTTTATGGATTTGGCTGCATTGAGTCTATGGAGATGCTTAGGAGACTCTGCCTAGGATTAAGTTGATTTCTGACAAACAATACAAGCTCTCAGTGTTTATTTTCTCTGTTCCTATGTCCCTCATCCTTGTAAAAGTATTTGTGAGCTGTTGCGTGCAAAGCAAGGAGACATCTGAATAGGAGAGGCTGCCAGGTGGGGGCACAGGACGTCATGAGCCAGAGTCATGTAGGGGTACTTCCCTCTATAAGACTTTAGATTCCCCAAGAGCTCAAAATCCCATGCATTATGTCTCACGATAATAATTAGCTACTAATGTTTGTGATGCAATACACTCATTTCAGGTAGAGAAAAAGACAGCAACAAAGATTTAATATATTGTTGGCTTCAGGAAAGTCTGGGTGTTTCATGTCCCCCATTTTTTCTTTACCCTATTAATATTACCTGGTCAGGAAATAAAAGAAATATGAGTTCTTTAATGCATTTTTAAAATTCTTATATTTCATATAGCAACATTTCTGACCATAGGTTCATTGATCCACATCTCCTTGAGGGCTGTGAATGGGGTTCTGCTGCCTCCTCCAACATTCCAGATTTGGGAAAACTAGGGCCCATGAATTTTCAGTTTGAACATAATCTTGACCCTGAAGTAAAATTAAACTTGAGGGCAACGTTTTTAGTTCCCACCTTCACACATTTCTACTATTCCAAGGAATATAATATCATATAGAAATGGCGTTTCAGTAGCTGCTGTAAAATATGTAAAGCCATCCAGAATGCACAATAAAGGTTAGAGACACAGCCTAGTGTTAGAACATTTGCGCAGCATGTACACAAAAGACCCTGCTTCCATCTCTAGCATGTCAAAACGAAGCAAGACATGGTAAGTGTCCCTAGACCAGAGACCAATAGCATCAATGACAGCAAGGGTTATATGCCCTGCAGGTATATATGAAAAAGAAGTGAAGTGTAATGTAGATTTGGATCCCATCTCAAAGATGGCACATATTCCAAAATCCAGAGTTTCTGGTCTCGAAGTGTTTTTAAGCAAAGGATACTCAACTATAGTACTGAATCCATTTCACCTATATGCACAGGGACTGTAGGAAACAGCAAACAGACTATTAAAACTCCTGGGAACTCTCAGCATGCCTGTGAGTCAAGTGGGTCCTCAGTGAAGCTTGGAATCCTGCCTGTCCTCTTCATTATGGTCATCACATGGCTGGTGGCCATGTGGTGACCTCTTTATGTTGCTCTAGCCATGCATCTAGCTCCCATGTAACTGTATTCATGCCACACTGATTCATTAGTTCCTCCAGTTTGGCTTTCAGTTATCCAGACCTCCATACAAGTCTGGAGCATTCGGTCACAGCCCCTACCTCCCGCTCTACCACGTGCCTACCATCCTGGCAAACACATCTTTCCAGTCTCATTCTGGCCACTGTTGCTTCTGTGAAGCGCTAGGCTGGCCAGCAGGCCTGAGCCACACCTTGCACATCCTCTTCAAGAGGTTTAGCACAAGGATATGCCAGGTCAGTACCAAGAACACTTAGAGTGTCTGCGTACTTGCCATTGAAGCCTAAGAACTATGCTGCATCTCAGGGGATGCTTGATTAGGGTGTGGCCATGGAGTCAGTTGGGAAGAGCTTGTGCCCAGACTAGCAGAGCTGTGGAGCAGCCACACTAAAGCAGCTTTTCAGACTAAGAGAAGATGTCAAGTCAGTAATTTAGTCATAGCAGAATTCAGAAATGTTCTCATTAAAATCCTTTAGATCAGTCACTACCTTTTATATAGTATTTATGTGGAGCTCAGACAAAACTGCTAGTACATAGTGGAAGTGTTCTCACTCCAAATACTTAAAAGCATAATGGAAAAAGAAATGCTGAAGTCTCAGAAAGGCCAGTGTGACTAATGCTTCACCGCACTGGGGGGAACCTTCTGGGGCTGGCCTTTTGCTTTTGGGGTGTTGTATCTGTTTTGAATATTAAACTGTGGCTGCAGAAAACAACTGAGTATGTTTATCTTATAGATTGAGACCTTCCTTTGGTTTACAGAAGACTTGTTGTACACATTAGGGTTTGCC